AGAAAAAGAGCTATTTTCAATACATTCCGATCTCTTCACTTCTATGGCAATTCAGTGCTTGAGATTTTATGTGTAACTGTAAGGTAAAAATGTCCATTGATCAGTGTGAATTTCTAAAGCATACCCAAGGAATTTTCAGCTCTGTAGTGAAATAAGAACATCAGAGGAATGCCTAACATTATTACCGCGGAAAATATCTCTTCAAAAAAAAATTTAGAAAGCACTCAGAGAGTGCACAACTTCGCCAACGTCATCGTAACCTGATAATCAAGTTATAAATAACAGACTTGTAGCAAAAGTTGTTAATTATTGCCAATAAATTTCAAGACAGTCATTAACGTATTTTTTGGTCGATCGATTTTATTTTTATCAAGTATCGACCATCATAAAGACTGAAAAATAAAATTGACAAAGATTATTGTTTAAGGTTGACGGACACGCATGTAGTTTTTGCTGTTGTTTTTTACGAATTGGTCAAACCCAAAGTCAAACAAAAACATTGTTTTCAATCGTTATGAATCTCTACCGATTGAATAGAATTTTATTATAAACAATTGTCTTGTAAATGGAATTTTTAAAGAATTCTGAATGTAAAAATTAAGAAAAAAGTGTGCAAGACAATAAGAAACACTACCTGCCAAAAAAGTGAAGTTTTGTTGAAATCGGTTGAAAAATATAGGAAATCCGATCCCATATATAAACGAACACACACACACACACACACACACACACACACACACACACACACACACACACACACCAACCTGGGTTTTATAATAAGTATAACTCGATAACTCAATATTAATAAGTATAACTCGATATGAGTTGTCCTCCTTTCCTTAATGCCTCTTAATCGTGTTTCCAAATTGATTTCGTGCAAAAACAATTGTGCTTTTCCAATTTTTGGCGCTGTCAGAACCACCGCAAGGTAATTTTACGTAGTCTTGTGAAGTTTTGTTGAAATCGGTTGAAAAATGTAGGAAATCCGATCCAATATATAAACGTACAGACACACACACACACAATCTGCGTTTTATAATAAGTATGATTCTTGGCTGCCTTATAGAAAGATTGATATTACATAGCTGTTCCACACCGCTTTCTTTGTTTCTAACGAAAGTTTCTTATTTCTTATTACTTTGCTTAACTTTTTAGATACATCTTCCGCTATTCCAATGTGCTTTCTGATTTCAGTGTCGCCTTTTGTATGCTCTGCTATAACACTTCCCAGATACTTCTGTACATGTTTCATGTTGAAATTTCTATTTTGGAGTTTTTGTTTTCTATCTGTATGCAGGTGGCTAGTCAAAAGAGGAATTTGCAAACATTCTCCCTCATTCTAGTATCGTCGTGAGCACCAGAATATCTACCCTCTTATTATCAGGGTTTTTTAAAAAATCTTTATAGATATGCATGTAAGCGTAAGCGTCACTTTTACAAAACTTATGAAGGCTTACGTCTACATCACATTATTCTTTATTCTTGGCTGCTTTATAGAAAGATTGATATTGCATAGCAGTTTTGAACTCCTTTATTTGTTTCTAACGAAATTTTCCTGTTTCTTATTACTTTGCTTAGCTTTTGGGATGCATCTTTCTCTATTCGCATGTTCGGATTTCAGTGTCGCCTTTTGCACGCTCTGCTAAAACACTTCCCAGATATTTAAACTTCTGTACTTGTTTGATGTTGACATGTCTAATTTGGAGTTCGCTTCTTTGCTTTGTTTCTCTCTGCAACAGTCATATATTCTGTCTCTTCCCGTTGAAAGTTAGTCTGTTCTTCTTTCTTTCCTTTACTACCTTGTCTAGGGGGTTCTATAGTTTTGCTTCCGTGTCTGCCATCAACACATCTACGGGTTTTATGGCTGCGCCCACTGATAATTAAATCCTGGTTAGGTCTTCAGCACCTTTAGGATAGCCGCGCTGTAACCGTTGAATAAGACCAGTGAGAAGACACATCCTTGCCCTACGACCTTTTCTGCTTTTGTATAGCAGCTCATTTTTTTTCTATCTGTATGCAGGTGGCTTGTCGAAAGAGGAATTTGCAAATATTCTCCTGCATTCCAGTCTTAAGCACCAGAATATCTCCCCTCTTATCATCAGGGTTTTTAAAAACCTTTATAGATATGCATATAAACGTAAGCGTCACTTTTACAAAACTCATGAAGGCGTGTGGGTACATCACGTTGAAACATCAGTTCCGTACGATCATCATAGTTCAGCAACATTGAACCCGGTGAATAATGAGATGCAAACCCGCTATGGTAATCGAATCTCAAAACCGCCTGACCTTGAACAAAAATGTCTCTTAAAACACACATCACTGATGCCCTTCGTTATGGAGGCTTAGTGAACATAGGAGTTGCTTAAACATGTGTTAATGTTATTATGTTCAATGAGTCCAGTCGCTGGATCGAGTTGTAACACTAGTGCAGCAGAACGAACATGAACTGGCATCGCAGGCGATGAAATAACACAGTAATTATCAATGGGCATCTGAAGATGGCTAGGGGGTACTTAACAGTGGCAGGATATATTCATATCGTGAGCAGGCGCGAATGTTATGGACGCGAGGCTGCCCAGCCATATCAGATTGCGCTTCCAGACCGAGTCATCCAGGCTTTGCTGCTGTTTATCGTCGCGTTGCTGAGACAGGATCCGTGATACCACAAACTATGGATCGAGGATGACCGAGGTCCACTCGTACGCCTGAGCACGAAGAACATATTCTATAGGCTGTCGGGGATGATCCAGGTATTAACACGCGTCAAGTGGTCCTAGCATGTCGTACATCTCATAGTACCGTATGAAGGGTACTTCAAGAACAGCTCCTGTAGCCGTATCATTTGCACCGTTTACAGGGTTTTTCGATCTCTGATCACTCACCAAGGAAGAGCTTTTTGCTGATGTTTTATTGCACAAACTACCAATCCGTTGTTTGTCTCTTCAGTCTTGTTTACGGATGAGATGGAATAACAAATTTGCTCAACCAACATTTGTGATTGGTCCATATGTTCTCCCAGCATGTCTTACAGGAGCTGTCTATAGGGACTTTATTTCGGACAAATTTCCAGATCTGCTAGAGGATGCACCCCCAGATAATACGAAGACACATGTGGTTCATGCATGATGGGGCTTCAGCATATTTTTTTCAAATTATTCGTACTGCACTGGCTGACATCTGCCTTGAAAGATGGATAGTGAGAAAAGGACCGATTCCATGGCCAGCACGTTCCCCGACCTCAAACCTTTGGATTTTTATCTGTGGGGCTACCTAAAACAATTGTTGTTTTTTTTCATCAACATGTTATGGGGGCCTCTGAAGCCATTCGACACCGTGTGGGAGCCTGAAAGGGTCTGGTCTGTTAGTCCGACGGCTGCATACGTGTTTAGAAACAAGTGCAGGACATTTTGAACATTTGTAATGAGTTTTTTTTTTACTTGAGCTACAACAATTGAGGTTTTTGACGTGTTTATATGGACATTTTATACTGTTTTTGGTGTCAGGAACCCATATATATATATATATATTGAATGGTTAGAATGTTCGCTTTCTGACCATGAGACCCGGGTTCAAATCTCACCACGGTTGATTTGTCAGGAAGGAGACTTCCTGATGTTATCGGTCTGGAAAGCGGACGATCCCACATTTGGAAAGAGCCTGAAGATCATGCCACGGGTTGACCCAAACCTTGTGTATGAAATTGAATAGACGGAATACTTGGGGGACTGTCGACAGCTGTGCTAGCACGAAGTCACAAGTCATCGTGACCGAAGGTTTGAGTGTGCTTGATAACATGCTCTCTCCCAGAAACTGTAACTAAGATTTGCTCAGCATAGTTGCAGCATAAACCAAAGGTGGGCTCCGTAGGTGTTAAACAGAAATGTGCCTGGGCGAGCGTCTGAATTAGGGATTAGGCTAATTAGGATATCTATCTATCTATCGCAGTGTGTTCATATCTACCTATGTCTATATTTCTATCACAGTATTGTAACTAAGGTCTGCTCAGTGTAGTTGCAGTATAAACCACAGGTGTTGAACAAACACAAATGTGCCTGAGCGAGCCTCTGAATTAGGGATTGGCTAGCCTCCCTAGTAGACGAGTATCTTCGAATACGAGTGGCCAGCTATTATTATAGTGATTTTCCAAGCGTAGCTTAGATGTGGCACAAGGCCGAAAGAATGGGTTCCTAGTGAGAATCGAACTCACTACAGAGTCGTAATTGTTCCAGCGAGACAATCTTGTTAACCATTACACCACCCCGAGCTGCTCGGCCAGCTATTATTATATGTAAGATCAATTGATAGCAGTATATAAAGGTAATGTCAAATGGCGCCATCATACGTTGACCTCCTATAATACCCAGGCCTATATTATTTGTACCGACACCTGGTGAATCAGAATGAATTCCGGTAAGGCTGCTCATAGCAAAGCGTCCTGAATTATTGGTGTTGGAATGATAGAGAATGTCAGATAAATAGGACATTCCTTTTCTAATCTTGATTAAATCATGAATTACAATTTTAAAATTCTGCAAATTTTAATACACTTGATACGTGATGTCTAAAGAAAATTTGCTCGAGGCTGTAGCAAGAAAAAAGATTCTTGTGAAACGTAGATTTTCGCAAGATAGATCACGATTCCCATCACTGATCTCAGTCCGGTGTTCCTGTCTATTGTAGACACAGCTATTTCAATGCCAATTTTCTTGAGTGTTTCGCCGAAGTCCGCTTTTGATTCGACTTGTATACACTCGCTTCGAAACGACAGTAGATAGTTTGGCAGATAACCAAAAGCTGATGATAATTTCACATTAAACATCAAATGAGATGGACCTGAAACCAAAGAAGCCGGACTAATCACGTGGTACTCTCTTCTGTTTTTATGTGTAAATCACGACAGACAGTACTAAGTGCTTTACCCACCTTCCCACATTAAGCGCATTAAAGACTAGCCTAAAAACAACTAGATTATTCATGAAGAAAGAAAAAAGTTTAAAATGTGTAATGCGTCTATCTATCTATCTATCTATCTATCTATCTATCTATCTATCTATCTATCTATCTATGTACAGAACGATGCAGAAAATGTACAGGAGCTGGCATCGGAAATTTCCAAGACTAGGATCTCCTGGCTGATTTCATAACTAAAATGGTATTGGATAGATCCATAACTGTGAAGGCAGATTTCATAAACGAAGTGGTATCGGAAAAATCCATGACGAGGATCTCCTGGTAGACTCAAACGAAGCATCTACTTTATTAAACTATGGAATCAATAACAATCCGGTGGGACAATTGTCCTTTTACAGCATTTCTCAATTTAGGCCTGTTGTTATTAATTTTACTGTTTAATAAAAAAAAAAACAAGGATAGCAACTCAAACACGTGTAGCCACTAAAAAATAACGTTTATAGCAATGAGTTATAATGTCAGATAAAAAAAATCAATTTAAAAAAATGACTGTCGTTTACTCTTCAGCTACGAAACTGAAGCTGGTAGATGTAGATTCACAAGAGGACCGACAAGAAAACACGGTCTTTCGTTAATAGGTTTATTCAAACCTTGCTCTGTCAGGCTGGCTCTGTGGCTGAAGCACACTTTGGCTCAAAACTTCGCTCCCCTGATGCAAAAAAAAAAAGGGTTGGCGGCACAATTTTCTTTTAGTGTGAATTCTCAATTTATACCGCTTGTGATTAATTTCACTGTTTAATAAAATAAAAACAGAGATAGAAACTTAAACACGTGTAGCCACTAAAAATAACTTCTATAGTTATATATATATATATATATATATATATATATATATATATATATATATATATTAAATATTAAATGGAATTTTTAAATCCGTTATTTTTAGTGTTTGATTTGCTGTCCCTATTTGTTTTTATTTTTCTTAAACTGAAATTAATATCAACCGGACTAGATTAAGAAGTTCTACTAACGGAAAATATGCCCCCGCCACCAATAAGTTGTTTTTATTTGTTTCACTGTTTCTCAAAGTCTCAATCACCTTTGAGCCGCGAGGGAGGCGCGCTTCTGGCGAGGAGTGCGAGCGTCTCCGCCGCGCAGAATTGTCCACCAAAACCAAATTCACGCAAATGAACTTGTCAACCTATCTTTGCTTCACACCATCTCCGCCCCCAGGGTAGAGAAAGGCAAGCGAAAAACAGAACGACGATCCTGAAGCGAGCGGGTGCCAACAACAAGAGCAACTCAATAAAAAAAAGCCGTGATGGCAACTCAAATACATTTACCCACTAAAAATAATATTTACATTAATAATAATATATATATATATATTACTTTTGAACCTTAATTGTATTGGATACCCTTGTTCGAAATAGACGTCTATTATTTTTATTTTTAGACAGTGTGTATTATGTCTATTGACTGGCGCACAAAGAGAAAGCTTTATACAGAAAATTAGTTCTCCGGCAAGTTTCGAACCTGCAACCCCGTTTGTAGGAGAAACAACGGCTTAAATCCGGTGCACTTTAGTTATAGCACTCGGTCACAGAGATCATCAGAGGCCAGCGATGTTCTATTTTGCCCTTTTGAAAAAGGTCCTCGTTCAGTTATTCTCGAAAACCCATATCTGCTCAGTTTCATATTCGAAAGACTATACAAAGCAATGTCTGAAAAAAAAAAAAAAAAAAAAAAAAAAAAACACAAACAGAAGCGATGGGGCGTATGAATCTAAAATAATCAGTTCAGTTCCACCATATTTTCTTGTTTTTGTCTTTTTCAGCGTTTATTTTCGACCGACTTCATTATTAATAACCGGTTTTGTTTAATATTCTAATTTATACAGTTTTTTTTTTGTTTGGCGGTCATTGTTTCCCCCGTCACGCTATTTTTTTTCCCTTCTTACTTCTCTTCCTTAATTACAGCCCCTTCTCATATATTCCTGTTTTCCTCTTCCATTTCCATTCAGTCAATTTGCTATACACCCCTGCTACTTTTTCCCCTCACCGACCATCTTTCTTTTAATTTTCTTTTCGTGTGATTAACATAATTCTAATCGCCGGCAACCTCTGTAATAAATATATATTTGACGCACGTCTGGTCAGAAAAAAAAATGATTGCAAATTTGATTGTCGTTTCTTTATTTCTTGTGCAATTTTCTTTTCTTTTTGTTGTTGTTGTTATTGTTTGCAGTTCATTCCAAACAAGGCGATATTGCCACAAAGATGCAACGGGTTACTGAGAATGAAAGAGAATAAGACTTTAGTGTGAAAAAAAAGGACCTAAAAGAACAGATTCCGGAAGGCAGAAGATGGCGATTGATATTGCATTTAAATTTTTGAAGATCGCAATGGATAAGAACGTGTAGCGATATCAGTGTCAGCCAATATCTTGTCAAATGGAAACATCTGAAAAATGTGACAGAAATTGTTTCAGACAGTTATTGTCCCGGTGATTAACAGCTAAGGAAAGTAGACCTCACAAGGACATTATCAAACGATGACAAGGATGATCAATGAGTGGAAGAAAAGACTGGGTTCTTGATAAAGCGCTTTTGTAGGCAAAGATGACAAGACAGAGAAACGCTGTCCTCTATAAGACAGTGGTCACTAGCGTCGAAAACAGAGAGAAACACAGAGATTGAAAAAAAAGAACGAAGCGAAAAGTAAGACACGCCCGTTAGACAGTTCGCTTCCACTCACCTTCGCCTCATTCCAGCCTCACTCGTCTACAGCGGAAGGTTACAACCGAATAAAATTTGCTTACTGTTAGGTTCGGCTCATGGTTTTATTTCGTGTGTAACAATCTGGTTAAAGAGTTATTTTTTAAGCCACAGGCGCTTGGCTGGAAGAAGCTACATCCTGAGAAGGAACTCGGTGTCTGGTCGAAGCTTCAACGCTACAAAAGCAGGAAGAGGGTTCCACGATAGAGAATTGCAAGAAAAGAAATTATTAAAATAGAACTTACGGTTCCATCTAGCCATCGACAGTAAATCTATGCGAGCTAGTTGTCAATCTTGTAGTACGCTTAAATTCATTCGGTCGAGGTATCAAGGAGGAGAGCTCATTAGAACAATTACCATGAAAATATTTGTAAAAAAAGACAGAGGAAATACACGTCACGTGGGCGGGAAAGCGACCGAATTCAAGATGCCAGGACAGAACTGATAACACTAGAGATTTTTCCAAGAACCTTGAGGTTTATAGCAGGAAAACCATACTAGATATGGCAGCTATATTCAACACACGGACAAATGGTAGATTTATAAATGTGCAAGACGAACTCTGGCAAGAAAAATTGTCTGATAGCACATAGTAAGCACTCATTCTTAACAGCAGAGCGTGGAATTTAATTAGATATCATCTCCCCATTTCATTTTCTGTGGGAAACTCGAGCGCAAAGACGGTGTAATGAGTTGCTTTCCTGGGGTTTAGCCTTGGCCATGCTGATGTAAGACAAAAAACAGGCTCATTTCAATGCTGGTACCGACCAAGTTTATCATAGAATGACACAATGTGATGAACAATGTGCAGGATAGTTGTGTTGCGCCAAGTAGAGTTGAACATCGGCATCCGTTAAGGTTGGTAAATGATATACCGGGTATATAACTGTTTCCCGCCTAAGTTAAATCAAACATTTTTTTTCTATCTTCATATATTCATCGGTGTTTCCTTCTTTCTTTTCCTTCCTTCTTTCATTTTGTTCATTATTTATTTTGTTCATTCTTTTTATTGCTTCTTTTTTGTTTGTTTGAAAAAGAATTCTTCCTTCTTTCTTTTTTTCTTCTTTTGTTTTCTTTTTTTCTTACTTTTTCCTTCTTTCTTTTTCTTCCTTCTTTCTTTTTCTTCCTTCTTTTTCTTCCTTCTTTTTCTTCCTTCTTTCTTTTTCCTTCTTTTGTTTTCTTTTTTCTTACTTTTTCCTTCTTTCTTTTCCTTCCTTTTTTCTTTTTTCCTTCTTTCTTTTTCCTTCTTTTGTTTTCTTTTTTCTTACTTTTTCCTTCTTTCTTTTTCTTCCTTCTTTCTTTTTCTTCCTTCTTTTTCTTCCTTCTTTCTTTTTTCCTTCTTTCTTTTTCCTTCTTTTGTTTTCTTTTTTTACTTTTTTTTCTTCTTTTTTTTCTTCCTTTTTTCTTTTTTCCTTCTTTCTTTTTCCTTCTTTTGTTTTCTTTTTTCTTACTTTTTCCTTCTTTCTTTTTCTTCCTCCTTTCTTTTTCTACCTTCTTTTATTTTGTTCATTCATTTTATTCTTTCTTTTTTGTTCCTTCTTTCTTTTTATTCCTTTTTCATTTTGTTCAGTCTTTCTTTCTCTTCCTTCTTTTTTTCCTTCCTTATTTCTTTTTCTTACTTCGTTCTTTTTTCTTTCTTTCATTATGTGTCAGCTGTTCCTTTCTGATTCTGCGTATAAGTGTTCTTTTTATCACCATTTTCTTTCAGACTTCCTCGTTTTTGACTCGATCCGTCCATAGAATTCTCAGTATGCTTCTGTAGAACCACATTTCTGTTGCTTTCAGTTTTCTCTTCATCCGATGATCATTTGATTGATTCGTTTCGCACTGCTTATCAACCTATTGCAAGTTATTTAAAACCAGAAAAATTATATTGTAAGAATGTTTTGGGGAAAAATGATAATGATTTAGTGATACAAGTTTTACTAATTAACCCATAGCTGGGGAGGAGAAGTGGCGGATTCATACCTTCCCCAAGAATATTTGCGTGTAAATGAATATAAAGAACCCAACTGGAATTGGAACTCGTCTCTCCGATGGACAATTCCAAGCCATTATCCATAACACCAGCCTCACATCCACACTTAGTAGCCTTCCCAAGCGATCACCCATCTAGGTACTGACCTGGCACGACGCTGTTTAACTTCGGTGATCGTACAAGAACTGGTGTTTCAACGTGATATGGCCATGTCGGAGTTAGCTCCTCCTTTAGTTCCTTAACCCTTCACCAGGGGTCTCTCTCCCCTGGCTATAAATACTGGCTGACCCTTTGCCTCGATCTCTCTTTTTTTTCCTCAGGCCTTGGGCCTTATACCACCTCGCAAATGTGAGCTCTCACAGATACAGCGTTTCCCAAATTCTGGGAACACGCAAAGAACAATATACGTACGTACGAACACTCACCACAACACACACACACATAATATTCACCACACGCACTATGTCCATGTAAATGTTCATGTAACTTGTAACCTTTCTTGTTATTAATACATATATTTGTTTACATATATTTATCGGTCTTGTTTGTTTTCTTTGGACTTAATTAAAGTCCAACTTTCTCATGTAGTTGGATCGGCGAGCAGGAAATTTCTACCCACGTGTGTTCTTCTACATACTCATCACCGCCACGGTCCGCTACAGCCGTAAGTCATACAACTCTCACATCCACAAGCGCTACAATTTCCTAGTGTGTGTGTTTTGTTGGTAATTTGACTATAAATATTTATTGTTGATAAAACTTTGTTATATAAAATCATATTGCTGGTGTTTTTATACTTTCATTCTGTTTTATTTTGGTAGGTCCTTATTTGCTCATAACTGGGACCCTTACAGGTGCTACCACTCCGTGTCTAGTTGGACCTGGGAACAACAGCAATTAAGAAGTGGTTCCACGCTCCTCAAAACTTTCTTGCTGCCGGATGTACTTTATCATCATACCCAGAACTATACATTATATGAACTGAATAAACAATGCCTATTTTTAATAGTCAGTAACATTAGACCCTTTCTCATATATATATATATATATATATATATATATATATATATATATATATATATATATATATAAATATCACTGTAAAAAACAAACTCAAGAACCCAATCAAAACCGCCCACGCAGCATACGGAAGCTTTTCAAAAGAGTCTTCGGCAATCCTGGGCTAACACAAACCACCAAGTCCATGGCCTACCGAGCTGTTACCATCTCTCGACTCTCCTGTATGCCTGTGAGACCTGGGTACTCTACCGGAGAGACATCCCCAAACTTGAAAGATTCCATCAAATGAAACTTTGTCAAATCCTGCGGAACAAGTGTCAGGACCGAATCACGAACAACGAATTTCACCTCCGCGCAAATATGGAGTGCCTAAAAACCATCATGGCTCGCTACCTTCTTCTATGGACCGGACACCTTGCCCGAATACCAGATATCCGTCTACCCAAACAAATCCTCTTCTAGGAGCACGCAGCTGACAAGTGACCACATGTGACACCTTTCCCGAATGCCAGATATCCGTCTACCCAAACAAATCCTCTTCTAGAAGCACGCAGCTGACAAGTGACCACATGGGACACCTTTCCCGAATGCCAGATATCCGTCTACCCAAACAAATCCTCTTCTAGAAGGACGCAGCTGACAAGTGACCACATGGGTCACCATTCCCGAATGCCAGATGTCCGTCTACCCAAACAAATCCTCTTCTAGGAGCACGCAGCTGACAAGTGACCACATGGGACACCTTTCCCGAATGCCAGATATCCGTCTACCCAAACAAATCCTCTTCTAGGAGCACGCAGCTGACAAGTGACCACATGTGACACCTTTCCCGAATGCCAGATGTCCGTCTACCCAAACAAATCCTCTTCTAGAAGCACGCAGCTGACAAGTGACCACATGGGACACCTTTCCCGAATGCCAGATATCCGTCTACCCAAACAAATCCTCTTCTAGAAGCACGCAGCTGACAAGTACCACATGTGACACCTTTCCCGAATACCAGATATCCGTCTACCCAAACAAATCCTCTTCTAGAAGCACGCAGCTGACAAGTGACCACATGGGTCACCTTTCCCGAATGCCAGATGTCCGTCTACCCAAACAAATCCTCTTCTAGGAGCACGCAGCTGACAAGTGACCACATGGGACACCTTTCCCGAATGCCAGATATCCGTCTACCCAAACAAATCCTCTTCTAGAAGCACGCAGCTGACAAGTGACCACATGGGTCACCTTTCCCGAATGCCAGATGTCCGTCTACCCAAACAAATCCTCTTCTAGGAGCACGCAGCTGACAAGTGACCACATGGGACACCTTTCCCGAATGCCAGATATCCGTCTACCCAAACAAATCCTCTTCTAGGAGCACGCAGCTGACAAGTGACCACATGTGACACCTTTCCCGAATGCCAGATGTCCGTCTACCCAAACAAATCCTCTTCTAGAAGCACGCAGCTGACAAGTGACCACATGGGACACCTTTCCCGAATGCCAGATATCCGTCTACCCAAACAAATCCTCTTCTAGAAGCACGCAGCTGACAAGTGACCACATGTGACACCTTTCCCGAATGCCAGATATCCTTCTACCCAAACAAATCCTCTTCTAGAAGCACGCAGCTGACAAGTGACCACATGGGTCACCTTTCCCGAATGCCAGATGTCCGTCTACCCAAACAAATCCTCTTCTAGGAGCACGCAGCTGACAAGTGACCACATGGGACACCTTTCCCGAATGCCAGATATCCGTCTACCCAAACAAATCCTCTTCTAGGTGCACGCAGCTGACAAGTGACCACATGTGACACCTTTCCCGAATGCCAGATATCCGTCTACCCAAACAAATCCTCTTCTAGAAGCACGCAGCTGACAAGTGACCACATGTGTCACCTTTCCCGAATGCCAGATGTCCGTCTACCCAAACAAATCCTCTTCTAGGAGCACGCAGCTGACAAGTGACCACATGGGACACCTTTCCCGAATGCCAGATATCCGTCTACCCAAACAAATCCTCTTCTAGGAGCACGCAGCTGACAAGTGACCACATGTGACACCTTTCCCGAATGCCAGATGTCCGTCTACCCAAACAAATCCTCTTCTAGAAGCACGCAGCTGACAAGTGACCACATGGGACACCTTTCCCAATGCCAGATATCCGTCTACCCAAACAAATCCTCTTCTAGAAGCACGCAGCTGACAAGTGACCACATGTGACACCTTTCCCGAATGCCAGATATCCGTCTACCCAAACAAATCCTCTTCTAGAAGCACGCAGCTGACAAGGACCACATGGGACACCTTTCCCGAATGCCAGATATCCGTCTACCCAAACAAATCCTCTTCTAGAAGCACGCAGCTGACAAGTACCACATGTGACACCTTTCCCGAATACCAGATATCCGTCTACCCAAACAAATCCTCTTCTAGAAGCACGCAGCTGACAAGTTTGACCACATGGGTCACCTTTCCCGAATGCCAGATGTCCGTCTACCCAAACAAATCCTCTTCTAGGAGCACGCAGCTGACAAGTGACCACATGGGACACCTTTCCCGAATGCCAGATATCCGTCTACCCAAACAAATCCTCTTCTAGAAGCACGCAGCTGACAAGTGACCACATGGGTCACCTTTCCCGAATGCCAGATGTCCGTCTACCCAAACAAATCCTCTTCTAGGAGCACGCAGCTGACAAGGACCACATGGGACACCTTTCCCGAATGCCAGATATCCGTCTACCCAAACAAATCCTCTTCTAGGAGCACGCAGCTGACAAGTGACCACATGTGACACCTTTCCCGAATGCCAGATGTCCGTCTACCCAAACAAATCCTCTTCTAGAAGTACGCAGCTGACAAGAGACCACATGGGACACCTTTCCCGAATGCCAGATATCCGTCTACCCAAACAAATCCTCTTCTAGAAGCACGCAGCTGACAAGTGACCACATGTGACACCTTTCCCGAATGCCAGATATCCGTCTACCCAAACAAATCCTCTTCTAGAAGCACGCAGCTGACAAGTGACCACATGGGTCACCTTTCCCGAATGCCAGATGTCCGTCTACCCAAACAAATCCTCTTCTAGGAGCACGCAGCTGACAAGTGACCAGGTGGGACACCTTTCCCGAATGCCAGATATCCGTCTACCCAAACAAATCCTCTTCTAGGAGCACGCAGCTGACAAGAGGCCACATGTGACACCTTTCCCGAATGCCAGATGTCCGTCTACCCAAACAAATCCTCTTCTAGAAGCACGCAGCTGACAAGTGACCACATGGGACACCTTTCCCGAATGCCAGATATCCGTCTACCCAAACAAATCCTCTTCTAGAAGCACGCAGCTGACAAGTGACCACATGTGACACCTTTCCCGAATGCCAGATATCCGTCTACCCAAACAAATCCTCTTCTAGAAGCACGCAGCTGACAAGTGACCACATGGGTCACACCTTTCCCGAATGCCAGATGTCCGTCTACCCAAACAAATCCTCTTCTAGGAGCACGCAGCTGACAAGTGACCACATGGGACACCTTTCCCGAATGCCAGATATCCGTCTACCCAAACAAATCCTCTTCTAGGAGCACGCAGCTGACAAGTGACCACATGTGACACCTTTCCCGAATGCCAGATATCCGTCTACCCAAACAAATCCTCTTCTAGAAGCACGCAGCTGACAAGTGACCACATGGGACACCTTTCCCGAATGCCAGATGTCCGTCTACCCAAACAAATCCTCTTCTAGGAGCACGCAGCTGACAAGTGACCACATGGGACACCTTTCCCGAATGCCAGATATCCGTCTACCCAAACAAATCCTCTTCTAGGAGCACGCAGCTGACAAGTGACCACATGTGACACCTTTTCCCGAATGCCAGATGTCCGTCTACCCAAACAAATCCTCTTCTAGAAGCACGCAGCTGACAAGTGACCACATGGGACACCTTTCCCGAATGCCAGATATCCGTCTACCCAAACAAATCCTCTTCTAGGAGCACGCAGCTGACAAGTGACCACATGGGACACCTTTCCCGAATGCCAGATATCCGTCTACCCAAACACATCCTCTTCTAGGAGCACGCAGCTGACAAGTGACCACATGGGACACCTTTCCCGAATGCCAGATATCCGTCTACCCAAACAAATCCTCTTCTAGGAGCACGCAGCTGACAAGTGACCACATGTGACACCTTTCCCGAATGCCAGATATCCGTCTACCCAAACAAATCCTCTTCTCGGAGCAGCTAGCAAGAGACTACATTGGTTACCTTGCCCGAATGCCTACCCAAACAAATCCTCTTCTAGAAACTCGCATTTGGCAAGAAATCGCGTGGAGCTCCACATCTTCGACTCAGCTCAAAAACACCTTGCTGGGGACAGAAATCGATCCGCTCAACTGGGAGACGGGAGCTGTAGAAAAAGAAAATAGTTGGAAAGGAGAAGAATTCCAAAGTTGCACTGTTTTTTGTTTGGGGTCGTGTGGAATAGTGATTTTTCTAAGCGTAGCTCGGGTGTGGCACAGTGCCGAAAGTTTGGGGCCACCCAGTGAGGTTCGAACTCACTTTTCAGTTGTAATTGATCTAGCGTGACAAGCTTGCTAACCATTACAACACGCTGATGTATCCTGGGTGGGTAGTATGGAATGTTAGCTTCTTGATTATGTCATTATTCTCTCTTCGAGTTACATGTGACATCCATTTTAGTTGTTGCAACTGTTGATAGTTCTCAAGTAATACTGTTTCTCTTATCTCGTACAGTTTCGGATATCGTTGTCATTAGAAACAAAGAAACGTGTGCGGAACTTCTATGCAATACCAACCCTTCTTGTTGGCAGTGAATGCTGGACAATTTCTTCGCAAATGAAGAGGAGACTTGAGAAGGCATCTCATTCTACAGAAGAATACCACGGAAGGAACATTTGAGCAATGTGGAAGTTTGAGGAAAAATTATTCTATTGTAATAGACTCTCCCACACATAATAAGTAGTAGTAGTAGTAGTAGTAGCGGTTGCCAGTTGGGCTCAGTGGCGTTGAGTGAGTGAGTCGATGTCGGACATTAAAGTATCAACCATCACAACTAGATTGCTGCATCATTAACTCTTATTTCAAGTTCCTAACGTTTTGTACATCGAACCTAATTTAGGACGACTTATTGAAATACAAGCCTCCACTGTGAAAACTACTCTACAACAAATAGATGGCAAACAGAGACTCAGAGTGATAGGACTGGGGCAAAATTGCTTAGAGCTACGAAAATAAGAAGCTGTGGATACCCATGACCGCCCACGTCTTGAAGGAAGTGTGAGAATAAATACATAAAGGAAGATATTTCAAAGTCCGTCGCCATAACAACCACGGACCAACATCAATGTATTTGTCGATCAACATGGCAACCACCGGTCTCTCTTCAACTATTGCAACCATTGACCTGTCTCTTTTACGCTATTACAACCACCGAACCATTTTATCGCTTGCCATTACAGCCACTGACCGATCTGTCTTTTCCCACTGTAAACCATTAAGAATGCATCTGTTTACTGCTCGACGATAAAGCGAAAACATGTCTCGGGGAGTGTGAAACGAATAAAGAACAAACGAATTGTTTTCGTGCGAAAAACACACATGTTTCAACCGATAAAAACTATTTGGCGAAACCTCAACAGTCGCCAGCTTTCAATCGTATGTTACTCACACAATGAGCCTCAGTCACTTCTGATTACCGTTGAAGATGCAGAGTAGCGAACTGGAGGCCTTAAGATGCAAAGTTCAGTACCTATGATGAGATTCTTTTCAATTCAATAACGTCCATTGTGCTTTCAAAATCTAAATTCAAATCGCTGACACACACTCTTTGGCCACTTATTTTAAAACGCACTCTTTTTATGCAAATTTCTAATCAGCCAATCACGTAGAGATTTAACGGGTATATATTTTTAAACATAGTCACGACGATCGGCTCAATTTGATTTGATGCATTAGTTTAGGAAAAAAATATAATTTAACTGTGAACGCGACATGATCGTTGCTGCCAGACAAGACGGTGTTGAGCATTTCAAAAACTGCAAATCTGATAGGATTTTCACGCAAAACCATATCTAGGGTGAACTGATAATGGCCGACAAAAGAAAATAATTTCAGTGAACGGTAGTTCTGTGGGCGAAACTTGAAGAAAGAAAGGCGAAGCAGAATGGTTCAATCTGATAGAAAAGTAATAGTAGCTCAAGTAACCACTGTTGACAAATAGCAATCCTGGACGCACAACACACCGAGCCTTGAAGCAGATGAGATACAGAAGCGGAACTCGCTGCGAGTCGTTCCACTTAGATAAGAACAGGGAACTGGGCTTACAATTGCAAGAGGACAGAAGGCAAGGTTGCTAGCAAAAGGAACAACCCAACATGCAAATTACAAATTAGAGACAGCAAAGCCAAACAAATGCATTAATTTGAATATCGGGAAATTGGTTCAATACAGGACGGAAAGTGGGATACTAAAATGCGAAGGGGTCTTGGGATAGTGAAAGATGCCTTCCAAAAGCTAAGCAATGTATTAAGAAAAAAAAAAATCATCAATAAATATACAAAAATAGAAATTGGTGTAAGAAAAGGATATGTTTTCTCACCGGACTTATTCAATATATACATTGAGGAGATTCTCTGAGAATTGCAACAAAGAAAAGAGTACTGAATTGTTACGTAATATCAGTCCTTATTTCATAACAAAAGTGGGGAAAACCCAAAGAAAAAGAAACTAAATGAAATTGGCTGGACAATCTATCGAAAATATAGATTTAAAAATAAACTTTAATTTAGCTTTAAAATTTTCAACGACTCCTCTTCTTCAGTGCGCATGTGTGGTCGCTCACATCAACGTAAACATCACTTTAGACCGATGTCGTCCTAACGGATGAAACACATCATTTTGTCTTTTTCCATTTCTCCTATTTCCTTATATATATATATATATATATATATATATATATATATATATATATATATGTATGTATGTATTCTTAAAGTAAGAATGATCAATATGCTATTTAATGGCTGATTTGGCAATTTCCAATTTTTGTTCAAAATGCGTCGGAGGAATTATGGTTTTATATAAATTTGTATATTTGCTGTAATAGATAGATAGATAGATAGATAGATAGATAGATAGATAGATAGATAGATAGATGTGAATAAACTTAGATAGATAGCGATATAATGGAATATGCATACACCTGTGTTTCCCCTCACTAGAATGTGTTTGGCTGGTGTCCGTCATAAATACCGAATGACGTGTTTAGAAAAAAGAGAGCCTTAGTCTGAGAGCAAGTCTATAACGACGCCCAATTGGACTACGCCATTGATCTACACTTTTACCTGCGAATACGACGCGTACTAGTCGATTACTAAACCGTATCCTAAAAAATTTATAGTAGCCAAAATGCCACCTAATACTTCGTTCAAATTTCTATCCCTTTCCAGGACATATCAGATAGATAGATAGATAGATAGATAGATGGTTTCAATGATAGATGGTGTGAGGATATTCTGGGATGTCTATTCATCCACATAGTCACGAACGTTGACATCAACTGACAAGTCTGCTTCGTCGTGAATCGATTATGACCATGACGTCACAACGAGCCGATTCGAGTCGGCTATTCAGCTGGAAGAGGTAGCTTTTTTCAAACGTCTCATGCGATTCCCACGCGAAAATAGCCTCTCTGTATTTGACGTCATGCGGCCACAATAGCGCTGCCATCGTTAGTATGTTTCTTAACTGTGTTGGGGTGGTGAGGGTCGAAAGAGTAACTCACACGGACAGGACAGTACGAATGTCTCGTGCGATTCCTGCACATGTCAATATGGCCTCGTTTTTAAATGCGCATATTAAAAAGCCTTATTTTTTTCTCTCACGCGCGTTCTGAATATGTACACAAAGATAGTAAGAAAGAAAATTAAATATTCGTTTATCTGCACCTAATCTGAAATTTTGCGAATGTAATATCCGCGAAAGAGTGTGTGTTACCGCGACGAAACTAAAATTAGCAACAGATAAGTGATCATTTGATTTTAACTTGCACTTTGAATGCACTGAGACTTTCTGTTGGACACTCTAATTGCAAAGACTGCTTGCTTTAAAAACGTTTTCACCCAGATATATGCTGGTCGAATACTTTTCCTTTTTTTTTTTTTTTTGAAACACAGTCTTGTTGTACCAAGACAGATAGACCGATAGATATGAACACACTGCGATAGATAGATAGATAGATAGATAGATAGATAGATAGATAGATAGATAGATAGATAGATAGTGTTGTGGATTCCGAGACGAATTCGGTCTCCAATGAAGAACAAACGCAATAATTAAATATAAGAAATAAAATGTATTTACACAATCATACAAAGGGTAATACTGTTAGTAAATCCAGGAACACGGTTAGTAGCAAATACAGATAGATATATACAGTCTCGAAGTAGGAATTCCGTAGAGTCTACGTGCTTGTAACTGACTTCTACAAGAGGCTTACGACCTCACACTATCTCCGTTCGTATATTCTCTCTCAAATAAACTACCCTCACTTCTGTCTAACTCTGGGTATTTAACGGCAGCACATCCAGGTACACTGGTAGGAATCCACTTATATGAAAAAGGACAACCCCATAACCCACTAGATAGATAGATAGATAGATAGATAGGAACACAGTGAAAAAAAGATAGATAGGTATGGATGTAGATAGATAGATAGGTATTTTATAAAAGCAGAAATAAACAAATATATCTCAATGCGTAAGTAGAAAAATTCATTAAAAAAATATCCTTGTTTTCAAGGTTAAATGAATTTTTTCCATGAATTTTAAAATGGGAAAGTTATGAATCCGCTTCTTCTCCCCCAGCTATGGGTAAATAGCAGGACAGACTGGGTTCTATAGCCTTGGGTGTCAACCGGTCTAGGAAAAGGACAACTCTGAATTCAGAATCCGCGGAGAGTTGTTTGGGAACGTTGTGGCACATTGTGCAACAGGTTTCTGTATTCGGCCATTCCAAAAAGTGTCATTGGTTCTTCACAATCCTTCAACACTATAATCAAATGATTTGTGCGGGTATTCTAGCTGTCGATTCCTAGGAACTGAGCTGCTTGACCCTCATACGTCAAAATCGACGGGAGAGTCCAGTATATACCAATTATATAAACGTAAAGATCACAGTAATCCGATGAAATCCTAAAGGACGAAACACAAAAAAAATTGTCATTAATTTTCCTAGGAATCTTTTTATTAAAACAATTTTTCAGAAAATTAATACTGTTACAAATGCAGAAGGACGTGTATCTATGTTTTATAGACTTCGCAAAGGCTGGAGCTGCTCAGCAACATTGATATATTTGGGAAAGATATTAGAATAATCAAGAACCTATACTGGCAGAAAACAGCATGCATGCGCGTTGAGAATGAGTTCAGTGAATATACAAAAATAGAAAGAGGCGTAAGGCAAGGGTGTGTCTTCTCACCGGACTTATTCAACCTATACAGCGAGGCAATTCTGAGAGAATTGGAGATCCTACCGGGATTCAACATTGGCGGCCACAATCTTAACAACACAAGATGCGCAGACGACACATTACTAGACACGGAAAAAAATTACAAAACCTCCTACAGCAGGTAGTGAAGGAGAGCGAGAAGAAGGGACTAAGCATAAATTACAAGAAAACAGAATGCGTGGTCATCAGTAAAAGGATGAATCCGAAATGCGATTTGCAGGTCGGAGACACTAAAATCAAGCATATGTGGAAGTTTAGATATATGGGAATTGTTCTGACAGAGGACGGTAGGTGCTACGCTGAGATCCGAAGACGGATTGGGATGGCCAAGGATGCAATCCAAAAGCTGGGCAGAGTAACACGAGACAGGAGGATTTCTATAGTGACAAAGAAAAGAGTACTGAGCTGCTACGTAACATCTGTCCTCCTATACAACAGCGAATGTTGGACGGTCTCCTCAAAGACGAGGAAGAGACTCAAGGCAGCGGAGATGTGATTCTACAGAAGGATGCTAAGGATATCATGGACCGAGCGTGTGAGCAACGAAGAGGTCTTAGAGAGGTTGCAAACAAGGAGGAGACTTATACTTAACATAAGGAAGAGGCAGATGAAATTTCTGGGACACGTAATGAGAAAGGAGGGCCTGGAGAATCTGATACTCACAGGTCAAATAGAGGGAAAAAGAGACACGAGAAAGCAATGAATGACATACCTGGCGGGCTTAAGCAAGTGGATGGCAGAACGTAGTCTGGGGGAGTTGGCAGAGCTACAAGGGATAGAGGGAAGTGGAAAGCTTTGATCGCCTACGTCCTGAAAGGACACGGCACATAAAAAGAAAATAAATCCAGTAAATGTTACACCTCTTTCTAAGATAGATGGGTTTTTTCCACGGTTTTTTTTCTTTTTCGTTTCGGTAGTTTGGAAAGTTAACACGATTATATCATATATTTTTCTTCCACAGGTGATCAGTAAAAAAAGCGGCAAAGTTATTATCACTGTTTTATCTTTCAGGAATAATTGACCTTGAACAACCTTAAATAGATTTCTTGAAGATTCATGACCTTGAATAATCATTCGACTCTCACATAATTGCTTGAATGGTTCTTTTATGATTGATTAATTGTTGCTCGATCTCGTGATCTCGTCATTTAAAGGTTACTCGAAGACAATTTTCGTCTTTCGTTCTGCCTTTCGCTCTTGTGAGCGTCAAGTTATCGTACTTTTCAAAGAACATCCGACGCGGGGATAGACGAAATGTGCAGAAATTCTTCCTGAATTTTTCAGTCACATCAAAAGAAATAATTGTTTTCAACGGTTGCCTCATGTCTTCTGAATTTATATTCGCAATTTTTTTACAGGGTAAAGCCTCAGTTTGCAACATCTTTGTAAACGGCAAAATATTTGTTTTAACAAATTATCCATCGTTCATTTTTTTTTTTCAAAAATAAAAAAAACATTGGAAACGATGTAAATCAAATAAATTTAAAACTTTTATTTTCACATTCCCAACACGAATCGTATAGAAAGACACGCGTTGAAATTTCACTTTTCAGAATATTCATATCTATCATAAATTTCGGTCATTGTTAAAATGCCACCTAATGAAAAAAAAACAAAACAACGATCCTACCCTAAAAAAAACCAAAAAAACAACGATCCTACCCTATACTCAGGTCCGGTGCTTACTACCACACACCCACCGACTTTAAGCCTTATTGAGGCCCGCGGACAGTGCTTTGTGACCCTGCCTATCTTATCAAGATTTCTACCTACATTTATATGCATTACATATTAAACTAAGCTCAACTGACTATTAAATTTTCGCAGATTTTGACGTCAGTCAGGGTCTTTTATTTTTCGTTCAAATCCGTGATTTTGTTTTGCTCATGCTTAGTCTTAAAAAAACACTATATAAAATTCACTATTTTTTTATATAATGTTGAATGTGTTAAAATTATACAACTTTTTAGCAATAAATA